TGTTAACACAGTCATCTTTGCTGCAGGAATTTTAATATTAAAGTGTTTTGTTTTGTTTTTTAAGATTTTATTTATTTATTTGTGAGAGAGAGAGAGAGGGCACAAGCAGGGGGAGTGGCAGGCAGAGAGAAGCAGGCTCCCTGCTGAACAAGGAGCCTGATGCGCAGCTCGATCCCAGGACCCTGAGGTCATGACCTGAGCTGAAGGCAGCTGCTTAACTGACTGAGCCATCCAGGCACCCCTTAAGGTTATATTTTGAAAGTTTATTTCATTATTGCAAGCTAATGGCACCATTAATAAGATGGACAAAAAAAAAAAGCGCTCTTCATTTGTCTTTTAGCCCATCAACGGTCTTTCGTGCTACTCTACCACCTGTGGCTTTCACCTTAAAATGGAAAACAGAAAACTGAGCAGCTACCAGAGCAGCTTGCCATCAAAGCAAGTGGATACTCCTGTGCCTCATGATCAATAGCTTTCCCCTACTAGCTCAGGGTAGTACCACATTATAAACACAGTGGTCAGTGCAATGTCAACTGTATTCCCCAATTAATCAAGCTTGATGGCCTAATGAGGAACTATGATTTATGGCATGGGAATAGCCTACACCTACTAGTAGTATTAGGCAACTCTATCTCTCTGAGCCTTATTGCTATTACGTTATTATGGATTCTATAATAATATGAAAGGATGAGTAGCGCATGTTAAACACAGAGGACTGAACCCAGTGGAATTCTTTTCCCTTTTCCTTGGTATTAGTGATGCTTATACTTGCCAGAAAGAACAGAAATTAAAACTGAGGCTAAAAGAAGGAAAAAAAAAACACCTTATGTTAAAAAAAAAAGGAAACCTCAAATTCTAGTTAAAGAAGTACAGTCATCATAGGAGTTGCCATTTAGAAAAGGCTAAGAACTAAAACCAGATGTAAGAGAACAGGACGTGACTAGGTCATAAATTCTGCACAAAGCTGGCACTAAGTACATGTTTGCTATAAAACAGTATCTGTAGAATTTACTTCTAATTTAAAACAACTCTTCCTTATAACAGAATAAAACAGGCTTAAGTCTTACATACTTTCAGCATTTATACTGAGTTCTGTTGAATTTTCTTCTGCAGTTGCATATGGATTGTTTCCAACCATCGGCACAAGACAATCGGTATAGAAGTAACCAATCTTACACATATTTAGTGTAGAAATAATCAAATCCATTGCAAGCTGGCCAACATTTCCAACAGATACTGCTGGCTGAAATAATAAAAAATATATGTTCATTAAATCATCAAAATTAGCAGCACTTTTAAAAGTTTAGACAGAAGACAATAATCATGGGACTACTTTTGGATGGTTATGCTCAGGTACATCATAGCTGGATAGAGACTCATTAGCTGCAACTGAGGTGTCAGCAGGGGCTTCCTCTACTTTTGAGACGACTGATTTAACACTGATGGAACACCTACTACATGTCGATCATTGCTCTAGCACTAGGAACGCAGCAAGACAAACCGACGCAAGTTCCTGCCCTTGTGGAGCTTCCATTCTAGTGAGGGAGTAATTTAATGTAATAAAATAGTGAAATGCATGCATGCTTCACTTTATTGAACTTCACAGAGAATGTGTTTTTTACAAATTGAAGGTTTGTGGCAACCCTGCCTCAAGGAAGTCTATCAGCACCATTTTTCCCACAGCATTTGCTCACTTTGCGTCTGTTGCATTTTGGTAAATCTCTCAATATTTCAAACTTTTTCATTATTATATTTGTTATCATTTGATCTGCAATCAATGATTATGACTCACTAAAAGCTCAGATGATAGTCAGCATTCTCCAGCAATAAAATCTTAAAATTAAGGTATGCGCACTGTCTTTTTAAACATAATACTATTGCAAACTTAATAGACTACAGTATAAACATAACTTTCACATGCACTGGGAAACCAAAATATTCATCTGACTTGCTTTATTGCAATATTCACTCTATTGCTGTGGTTTGGAACCAAACCCCCAATATCTTTGAGGTATGCCCGTATACAGTGTTAAGTGAAAAGTTAAGTGAGAGTGTGTATACGTATGTGGTTGGTTGCAATTTTAAATAGGGTGATCATGAAAACAATGACTCTATAACTGACCAGTTAATCATAGACCTGAAAGACGTAAGGAAGACAGTCACACAAAGACCAGGGAAAAGAACACTTCAAGCAGTGGGAAAGCAAGTGTAAAGTCCTCTTGGGTCATCCTTCCATTTGCTTTGTTAGTGCCTAAAGGTTGGAGTCAGCTTCTTTTCACATTAAACACACACGCATATTTATCCCCACGACTTCAAAGAGTCCCATTGTCAAATCTCTATCTATAGTCCAAAACATTTATCTGAACTTCAGATCCTAATCCATATGTCCACATGGTTATCTCATAGGCAATGCATATTCAACATGTACAAAACTAAACTTCTGCCTAAATTTGTCCTCACATTTTGCATTTTAGAAAAGAGCAACACTTGCTCATCTGATTACCTAACCCACCCAAGAAACTTCTTCCTTTTCTCTTACAAACCACATCTAATACATGTCTAATTTTCATTGATTCTACTTTCAAAGTATCTCTGTAATGTAGCTCTTCCTTTGCATTCTTCTAGCAACTGCATCCCCCCACCATCTTATTTTTCTGGGTCTCTTAGGGTGGTCCCCCACTTCTCATTGCTCTCATCTACTAACCTTCTGGTTATCTCCTGTAATTCCCTTTCCTCTTCTCAAGGATTTTGCTACTTTAGACTCTCACTCTCCTGTATCATCCACCTTTTCCTCACTATTGGATTCTTCCCATCATCATATATACATGCTGTAATCTTTCCTTCTAAAATACCCCACCCTCCCACCCCACCCCCCTCCTGCACTCTGCTAAAATACCCTCCCCTGATCCCACATACTCCCCTAGCTACCACCTCACTTCTTGGTGTCTCTCCATAGACAAAATTCCCTAGTTGTCTACTAAAACATAAGTAGGAACTTTATCTCTGAATTGATAAACAAACACATACATATACATGTCTCCATCCCTTCTTTCATTTATTCAACCACTCCAATATGGCTTCCCTCCCTTCACCACTCACTGGTAACTGTCAAGGTTACCACCAATAATCTTTTGGACATTATTTTCCCTATGAATCTTTCTCTTTTTTTTCTTCTGCCAAGTATCTTACTAGCTGTTTCTGCATAAGGCTGGACTCAAGGTCAACTGATATGGCTGCAGCCTATGAACAAGCAAGGCCCTGAATTCCTTACCTTAACAAGAACGAGCCTATGACCCCATCCAGGTTGTACTAGCTCTCAGAGCATGCCCACAGCCCCTTTTCCTTGTCCTAAGATAACCTCCTGACATCAGGGACTCAATTTTGCCTCATTCTGATGTCAAGTCTCCCCCGCAAAGTAAACACGGGAATATATGGTACATACATGTTTCAATTCCTGCAAGGATACCTTTCCCTTTTATGATTAACAAATATTTTTCAGGGAGATACTTTGAAATTATATAAAATTTCCTTCAGTACATTATCACACACTAATTTTAACATTCATTCATATTTCTTGCATGCATCGTTAAGGTGAGAATTGCCCCAAGGTGATTACCATCATTTAAAAAACTGAGATAACTGACATATAACATTGTATTAGTATTAGGTAGATAACACAATGTGATACGTGTATATATTGTGAAAAGATTATCACAATGAGTTTATTTAACATCAATCAACCACAGTTACAAATTTCTCTTGTAATGAGAACTTTTAAGATCTACTCTCTTAGCAAGTTTCAAATACACAATATTGTTTATTATAGTCACCATGCTGTACAATACACCAGGACTTATTTATAACTGGAGATTTGTACCTTTTAACTGCCTTCATCTATTTCATTTCAAGCAGCCCTCGTCCTCACCCTCCTCTGGCAACCACCAATCTGTTCTCTGTATCTATGAGGGGGTTTTTTCCCCCCGATTCCACACATAAAGCTTTAACAGGTCCTGACGTCCCTCCCTCTCCCAATAAGCCCTAGGATTCTTCAGTACCCTTTTCGAAGTGCTATCCTAGCATTTATTGCCCTTACTGGTTTACGTGTGTTTCCAACTAGACTACACACTTCTTGAGGACAAGGACCTAGTCTTATTTTAATATTTTTACAGTACAGAAGGTTTATTGAAACAGTGACTGAATACGGGCAATTTTAGGAGCAATAAAACCGTGTGTTAGCTACTGGCTAAGATTACTTTTATGACCTTACCTGTAGTTTTCTAGTTAATGAGAGTCTTGCCAGCTTAAGACTGGCTCTGATACTAGTTGAGGAAAACTTTTCTAGGATATAATAATTTTTAAAAAATGGCCCCTACAACCTATGTACAACGTTACCTGTAATTACCACACACATTACGTTGTGCATTCAACGCAGACTAAACTCTAGTCTCAGAAACGTTCGGTGAGAGCGCCAACAGATTCCATCTGAAGCGCCGCATCTAGCGACAACCTGTCTTCGGTGCAGGCTGAAAACCTGAAGCAGAAGCAAGTACCGTCCTCTGTCCCAGGCCCGTTGAAACACCTCGACTGGCGGTAGCGGCCACCGGGGAGCCTCCCGAGAGGAAGCACCCCAAGCCGGGCACGCGGAGCTCGCGAAAGCGGGGACTCACCATTAGGAAAGTGTAGCCCGTGAGGTCGGGGACCGACTCTCCACAGGGAACGAACATGGTCGCACAGACGTGGGAGAACGGGGTGAGCGCGGGCCTGGGAGAAACGAAGACGTCGCCAAGGCGAGACCGCGAGCGCCGCGCCGCGTCGGTGTCCCCAGAGCCGCTAGCGACGGGGGCGGGGCGGGGCGGGGCGGGGCGGGGCCCGTCGTGCGGCTCGGCGTGGGGTCCTGAAGGGCCCGTCCAGCTATCTGCCGGTCCGCAGGGCGGAAAGGGCCCGCGACCGGGGAAAGACGAGGGCGGGCAGTGCCTGCGGAGACCCTGGCAGGGCGGGCAGATGGGGAGCGCTGAGCTCGCGGGATGGGGACCCCCAGGGAAGGGAGCGGCAGGCGGAGGTGGGCAGGCAGGGAGGGGGGCAGCCCGAGCCCTGGTAGTCCGCGCCGTTTGAAAGCAACAGTTGAGCGCCGCGGCTGCCTCGGCTCCCGCCCAGCCCCGGCCCTGACGCGGCGTCGCGCCCCCCGGGAGCTGCGTGAGGCCAGTCGGTCGCGCCGGCTCTGCTCAGCGGCGACTGGCTTTCCGGGGCTGGCCGGGGCGCACCCGAAGCGGGGAGAAGCGCGGTGAGACGCCGGCCCCAGCATGTCGCTGCCTCCGGAGAAAGCCTCGGAGCTGAAGCAGCTCATCCACCAGCAGCTGAGCAAGGTGAGGGCCGCGGGCGCCGGGCAACACGGGCCCCTCCGGCCGCCTTCGGTGCTGAGCGCCCAGCCTGGCGCCCCGAGGCCCAGTCGACGGCGGCGTCTGTTTGCCGGGACGCGAGCGCAGGCTCTGGGGCGCAGAGCGCGGGCTGGGCGGGCTCCGGGTCTGCAGCCGGGGCCGCTTTCTAGCCTCGGTGAAAGAGAACAATGCTGGCAAGTACTAGTGAGAGTTTGAGGTGGCAGAACGCGGCAGAGCGATAGCACGGCTGTGAATTAAAGCGTTCAGCCTGCGGTTACTGGGTATCAGATCCGGTACAAGTTGTGTTTGGAGCAGGTGTTTATTCAGAGTTCAGGAATTAGAATTACGTTAGGGGTGAAACTTGTATCTTTGAAGTTGAACCAAATCAGCAATTCTTAAAGAAGTCATGAAAGGGAAGTTACTAAAGGTCTTGTAATGAAAGTGTTTGTGATACTTCGGAGCGCAAGAACATTGTTAACGTCCTCAGCCGAATGCAGTAAGCTGAAGTAATAAAAGCTACCGTTTATTGTACACTTGAATGCCAGGCTCTGTGGTAAGTGTTTAGCACCTTTTACCGAAGCCTCACGGTAATCTTGATAGGGCACTATTTTTTCCAGATTCATAAAGGGTAAAAAGGTTGACTCAGGGTCACATCTAAAAAGTTGAACGCTGAGATTCGTACTCTGATCTCCTACTCCAGGTCTGTGTTCTCTTGATTATACTACACTCTCTTTCAAAAGGTCCGTTTTTGTTGAGTGTTATTTGTGGGGAAATGGTAACAAAGGTAGTAGATAACCAGTAGAAATTATTTCTAGACTTTGTACTAAAAAAAGAATTCATCCTAAAATTTTTTTCTTTTAAAAAATCTTATCTTTATTCTCATTGAATTCTAGTAACAATTTTACGTTTACTATTAGCTTGAGAAGCCTTCCTGAATTTTGTCTATCCACTCTCCCATTTTTTTCCTTTGGGTGTTTTGGAAAGAAATTAGTTAATTGGCAATGTTTGATGGCTTCATAAATGTAAATTGTAATGCGAGTTTTCTACGTAGATGGATGTCCATGGCAGAATAAGAGAAATCCTTGCTGAGACAATACGGGAAGAATTGGCACCGGATCAACAACAGTTATCAACAGAAGATTTGATCAAAGCCCTTAGACGTCGGGGAATCATTGATGATGTGATGAAAGAACTTAATTTTGTTACGGTGAGTAATCTTTTAGGGGAAAAATTTTGAGAGTATGTTCCTATGCTTAATGCTGCTTATAGGGTCCATACTTGGGGCCTCTTTTTCGTAAAATCACTTTAAAACAAGACCATTTTTGTCTAGTAATATCCTTACTTCAAGTATAAGCTAACTCTACTCTTTATTGTAGCAAGTAGGATAATGTATCAAAGAGATTGGAGTTACATACTATATTTTTCTCTCTAAAATGAGAATTTTCTGTTGTCATTCTCTAGTTCTGTGAGTGCACTTATTTCAGTTAAATTAGTTCACCATAACCTAGTTTCTTTCCACTAGTATTCTATAATTTTTTTAGATTAGGCGTATTTTTTAAATAAACACATTCTTTTGGAAATCCATTCTCTATGGTTAACAAATTACCAATTTCTTTAAGAAAATAATTGTGTAAGAACCTTCAAATCTCTTTACACAAATAGGTCAGTAGTGGGATGAGAGCCTCAGTGCACAAATTAGTAAGTAGGCCTTCTTTTGAAAATGAGGCAATAATGAGAAACTGTGACCTAATAATACCTGGGTAATATAATGTAAAAATTGGATGGACTGCATAATACACCAGGGAATAAGTATTTTAATACAGCCTCCTTTTTTGGTTTTTGAAGTTTATAAACCCATTTGTTTAAAAATTGACCCAATAACAGCTTCTACTGTGTGAATGTCATTCCCTTATTAAAATCAGTTCACGGTAGAATCATAAGTCAAATGTCATATTAGGTTTAGAAAAAGTTTAACCTTGTTTAAGGTATGAAGGATTTGTTTTTTTTGCATTCTGTGGACATTGAAGACAGTTAAATTCCTTATTAGACTTTAGGCGTGACCAGTTGCATCATCTTTTTTTGCAGGCTTTTCATTATTTTAATTGTACTGAGAAAATAAGAGTTTCCTTGAGGGGGCTTTATCCTATCTACTTTTATTTACTTCTTAGTCCCATTGTTGACATTTCCTTGCTTAACTATAATTTTTGTTTTCATTTTTTTTTCCCTGCCTTTTTAGGATAGTGTTGATCAAGAGCTACCTTCCTCTCCAAAACAACCTGTTTGTTTTACTGATAGACATTCAACGTTGTTAAAAAAAAGTATGTGTATTTCTTTTTAACATTGATTTTGTTTTGCACAGTATTACATATTGATATGCTGTAATGTTTGGTATTTGATAGAAAACATTTTTCCTTTCTCGAGTGAAGTACTTATCATTTTTGTGATTAATCATCCAAAAAACTTAAATTCTGTTTTGCATGAAGTATGTATGTCAGACGATTTAATGTATCACAGAGTGGAAGCAAAAACAGGATCACCTGTTTCTCATGTTTTAATAGTATATTTTACAAACTTTATACAGCCTTGCTTTTTTTAATGGTAATTACCTAACAAGTATACTTGCTGCATTTATATTTGTCTGAGTTGGTTTGTGGAGGTGAAGGAGTGTTGGATAAGCAACCAAAAAGTAAAGGTTTTTTAAACCTTGGTTCTGACTCCTTTCTAGCTGGGAAAAAGTAGCCAGAATATAAACTCAGATAAAGGTACCTTATTATGTATGTTTTCTTCCCTGGTTGTAAATGGTCCTGGTATAGAGTAAATTTGTTACTTTTTTTCTTTATTTAGTCTTTGGTTTTATTTCTGTTGTTATTATTTTCTATTGTCTTGATCACATTCCTTAAGTTATTTGGCAGTTTCCTCATATATATTGCTACACTTTACAGCTAATATTGATCCAACACGGAGGTATCTTTACCTTCAGGTTTTGGGTGGAAAAGCTTTCTTGGAACATCTACAAGAACCTGAGCCTTTACCAGGACAAGTTTGTTCAACCTTTACTTTATGTTTACATTTTCGAAACCAACGTTTTCGTTCTAAACCTGTTCCATGTGCCTGTGAACCAGATTTTCATGATGGCTTTTTACTTGAAGTACACAGAGAAAGTTTAGGTAAGGAGCAATGATAATTTGTCACTTAACTGAGTAAATCTTTGTTAGGTTTTATTGTAGAACAACCATAACAACTTTTGCTATAAGGAGAGATTTATAATGAATGAATCTTCCTACTTTGCTTTTATTTTCTCCACTGCTTTTTTTTATATAAATGACTTCCACCTTCTTGCTTTATTTTCTGCTTATTAATTTTCCCTGAATATTATTTTTTATTGTCTTAATGGTTGCTTCGTTAGTAGTAAACATTTAAATGCATATGGTGGGGGGCTGGGTGGCACAGTTGATTAAGCATCTGACTCTTGATTTTGGCTCAAGTCATGATCTAAGGGTTGTGGGATTGAGCCCTGCATCAGTCTCTGCGTTCAGCACAAAGTCTGCTTGAGATTCTCTCTCCCTCTCCCCCTCCCACTTGTGCGTGCGCTTGCGCACTCTCTCTCAAATCAATCAGTCAAACAGTAAATGCCTGTTAGGTGCATTATGCTATGGTAGGCAAGTGCTGCGGATATAGTGGAGAATGAGACATAATCCTCATTTATGAAAGATAGCTAGATTTATGATGTTAATGTGACTTTCAAAAATAAAAATTAGGATGGACATCTGTAACTCTCATTTTTATAACTTTAAAATTATATACTTGATTCCCATAATTGTTTTGCATTATTTCTATTAACGTATTTTGTATGTTATTTCAATATAGAAATCTTTACATTTGTAAACTTAACAAAGTTATAGAATTATACCTTCAGAATTTTAGATTGCTAAGATGGTTAATATAGTACGAAAAATTTTTTTTGCCCCCAGTGAAAAATGTTGCCCTGGGCGCCTGGGTGGCTCAGTTGGTTGGGCGACTGCCTTCAGCTCAGGTCATGATCCTGGAGTCCTGGGATCGAGTCCCGCATCGGGCTCCCTGCTTGGCAGGGAGTCTGCTTCTCCCTCTGACCCTCCCCCCTCTCATGCTCTCTCTATCTCATTCTCTCTCTCAAATAAGTAAATAAAATCTTAAAAAAAAAAAATGTTGCCCTAATAGGCCTGTTAAAAAAAAAAAAAAGAATTAATTAATTTGAGAGAGAGAGCGTGAGCGAGCCCAAGGGGCAGGGAGGGGGAGGAGCAGACTCCCTGCTGAGCAGGGAGCCCGATGTGGAGCTCCATCCCAGGCCCCTGAGATCATGACCTGAGCCAAAGGCAGACACTTAACCAACAGAGCCACCCAGGGTGCCCCAGGATTGTACTTTTTTTTATAATGTAATCTGTTGCATGCTTTTTGAGGCATTACCAGATTATTTTACTTGGTTTTATGTAAGTTTATTATTAGTATCCTTTGTAATAAAAGTATTTTTATGTTGGACTAACAGAATATGTAATGTGGTACATTTGGTTTATGTTGCCAGGTGATGGAACTCGAATGGCTGATTCAACAACAATGTTATCAATAAGTGATCCAGTTCATATGGTGCTAATCAAAACAGACATATTTGGTGAGACTACTTTGGTAGCATCCTATTTTCTCGAATGGCGATCAGTTTTGGGCTCAGAAAATGGAATGACCAGTCTTACTGTGGAACTTATGGGTGTAGGTATGATGATTAATCACTGTTACCTTTTTATAGCCACAGCTTGTTTGTAAATACCTTTTATGTTTTCTGAATACCTTTGTAAACCAAGAAGGAAACATGTAAAAAGAATTTTGTTAGGGGGCGCCCGACTCTTGGTTTCCGCCCAGGTATTGATCTCAGGGTTGCGAGATCCAAGTCCTGCATCAGGCTCTGCACTCAGCATGGAGTCTGCTTAAGACTCCTTCTCCCTTTCCCTCTGCCCTTCTCGCCTGCACTTGTGTGTGTTTTCCGCCCCCCTCTCTCTAAAATAAAATCTTTTAAAAAAATACTTAAAAAAAGGATTTCATTAGAATTATAGTTGGACTGTAGTATTGTAGTCTTGGGAAATGTCATGAAGCATGTTATAAGTATAGAACTTCACAGTCAATCTGACCTTGTCTTAAGGAAAAAATTTTTTATGGGGCTTGCTTGCTCTTTCTTTCTTTCTTTTTTTAACATTTTATTTATTTGACAGAGAGAGAGAGAGCGTGCCCAAGCAGGGGGAGCAGCAGAGGGCAAGGGAGAAGCAGGCTCTCCACTGAGCAGGGAGGCTGATGCGGAGCTCGATTCCAGATGCTTAACCGACTGAGCCACCTAGGCGTCCCTTGCTTTTTCTCTTTTTTCAAATTTATTTGATTGTGTATAAGGCTGTAAAGAAAATTAAGATTCTTCACACACATGCATATGTAAAAACCCTCTATTCCAGCACACTCCAGTGTACAGTGCATCCCCATTAGTACCAGTGTCTTCCTGCAGCAAGGGTTCTTACAGGTTATGGAGTTGATATTCTTCCATCCTTTTACTTGTGTGAACGTGGGACTCAAAGAGGTACTAACTTGCTCATTGACTAACTTGCTCAAATATCTGTGAATAGTACTCTTTGAGGACAGAGATGGTGCCTATCTTATTCACCATTGTCTCCTTGGACTCTTGCATACTATCTGATGTGTAATACATATTTGCTAATAAAATAAGACCTACCACTATTTTATGCATAACATGTAGAGGAATTACTTTGGTATTGAAACTAAGTTGCATAGTCTAACCTGGCCAGTGGACAGTATAGCTTTAGGACTTTAGATTCTGATAAGTGAGACCTGGAATGTGTTTTTCCTTAAATAGAAAGTAGGGGGAAAAAGTTTTATGTGGGATATTTATTTTCAAAAGATACCCATTATTTGTCTTCAGATACAGTCCTAACATGGTTATCATAGTAGTGACCAAGAAACAAGTATATTCTGATTCACCAGAGAAATAGTAAATAGTTCTGGTAACAACAACAAAAAAAGTATATTTGTTTTCTGATTCTTTAAAGCCAGGAATGGATTGAAAATTTGTACTCACATGTGATGTGAAAAATGGGAAGGGATTAAAAAAATATATATAGGAAAGGATACATAGGAATTACTATATATGATAAAGTATAAATATTTTCTGACAATGAGATGTTAACTGTTGCTTTACTTTGTTTTTGATGTAAATCTGGTTGGCATACATTTTTTTTTTTTAAAGATTTTATTCATTTATTTGAGAGAGAGAATGAGATAGAGAGAGCATGAGAGTGGGGAGGGTCAGAGGGAGAAGCAGACTCCCCGCCGAGCAGGGAGCCCGATGTGGGACTCGATCCCGGGACTCCAGGATCATGACCTGAGCCGAAGGCAGTCGCTTAACCAACTGAGCCACCCAGGCGCCCCTGGTTGGCATACATTTAATGAAGATAAAAATTAAGAATACCAAATCCTGTATATCCAAACAGCCCCTTAAAACGTGATAAGCAAACTCAGAAAATAGGTAATCTCTTTATAATTAGATAAAGGTCTTCATTAAAAACTAATTTGATTTGGTTCGTTTTTAATATGAATATTAAAGATGATGTTGAATATTATCTGTATTTCATGTAAGAGGTAAAGCACAAAATTCTTTAATTATTTTGGTTAGACTTTGGTTGACTAAATATACATAGTATGGAAACCTCTGAAGTTCTAAATATTTATTTAAATTTATAGGCACAGAATCAAAAGTTTCTGTCGGAATTTTAAATATAAAACTTGAGATGTACCCACCACTCAATCAAACATTATCTCAAGAAGTAGTGAACACACAGGTAAATAATTCTGAATTTCTCTTCTTTGTGTATTTGTTTTCATAATGGTGTATTTACCTGTTGATCCTAGAAAGTACTTTCTTTTTAGAAAATTATCACTTCCTAGTTTTAAGCAAAAGAATGACAATATGACTTATTTAAAAACGTTTGTCTTGTGAGAAAAGATCACTAACCATTATATGGAGACGAGATTATGGGGTGGGGTGTAGATATAGGGAAGTCAGTCAGGAGGCTCTTAGAGATAGATGGTAGAGATGATATCTTATGTTAGGATGGTGGTAGAGATGGAGAGAAGAGTGCTGAATTGTTACATATTTTAGAGTATGTAAGGAGAAAAAACAAATTGAAGGAAGTATTTTTTTAAATTTCTAGCTTGCTTTGGAACGTCAGAAAACTGCAGAGAAAGAGCGATTATTTCTTGTATATGCAAAGCAGTGGTGGAGAGAATATTTGCAAATTCGACCTTCACACAACTCACGGCTGGTTAAGATTTTTGCACAGGTTTGTAAATTGCATTAGAAAAGGTTCACACCTATATTTGAGATTTACTGTTGTATATGTAAATTTCAATTAAGATGAATTTGTAAAATGTATTTATTCCAGACAAATGAAACTTTATTTGTAAAAATCGAATATGATTTTACAATACTCTTTCAGTGAGTAGGTGACATAACACAGTCTTTGTTTTATTTTGCTTTTCATTTTCAGTTATTCTTTTTAAACCCTTTTTGAATATATTTGGTTTAAAATAGATGAAGACCCACTTTGTTTAATTTGGAGAGTGATACTTAGTACTAAATGATTAAATACTAAGATACTTTGCAGTTGATAATGTAAATAATCCATATAGCTATATAATAATTCCATATAGCCAAAATCTCTGAACCAGTGACCAGTAATATTTAACTGCAGCATTTCAGTTCTGTATCTCTGCTTCTATTTTCCTGTATCCTAAGCCTATTTTTTCTCAACATATAATCATATAATAAAATATATGATTAGATCATATATTTGTAACTTCTGAGGAACAATGCACATATTTTATATTCATTCAACTTTATGTAGATGCTTTTATAAGAGTTATAGTGTGGTATTATTTTGACTAATATGTCTCAGATCCTGTGCATTTGTCTAGTTTTACCCTACATAGTAGGATGGGCTAAGAGTAGTTCAGTTTCTAGATGAGGAGCTTAAAAGTGGGAGAGCCTTGTTGACTAGTGGTGGAAATGAGGGAAACAGCTTCTCACTTTCCAGGAGCATTGTCTATGCATTGTTTGGGCAGACAGGTAGCATTGATGTCAGGATGGGGCAAAGAGAAACCAGTCAAAATATAACTGGCTCCCTGCTGTCTATTTAGTCTGAGGTGAGGTTATGCATTGCCATGTGGAATCTGGGACGAGAGAAGAATGGGTGGGTGAGGAAGTGAATCAGAGAAATGGCAAATGAAAGAGGAGGAGAAAGAGGATGATGCAGTTACGCAAATCGGAACGGGGATCATTTTTAGGAAATACTACTTGAACAAGTTCCCATCTCTTAGAATTCATTGTAAGAAGATTTGAACCACATAAGGTCACTTAGTCTCATGGTAACCATATGAGATTGTCAATTGGCCAGGCCTTACCACTTTTTATAAAAAACTATAAAAGAGAAGAGTAAAGAATTTTTCCTGATATCAAACAGCAACTTAGTCATGGAGACTCCGTTAAGTTACAGTTTCAAACTAGTGCTTTTTTGGTTTGACTGGACCACCTTTGGGTAAAGAGAGAGAGTAAAAATGTTTATCTTACTTCAGTTCCCCAAAAGTGTCTTTTGCTGCTGCGTTCTATATTTGACTAGATGAAGTTAAGGAACAATAACATTTATTTAAGGCAGTCAGTCTAATCAAAACTAATTTTAAACCAAAAAGTTATTATACATGGTCTGAAATGAATTTCCAGTGCTTCTAGGCACAAGAGAAAATAGTTTACAGCAGCACTATCTTCCTGCAGTGATGGAAATGTTCTCTGTGCTGTCCAGTATGATAGCCATTGAACTATTAAGCATGCAGAATGTGGCAATAAAGAACTGAATTCTGAATTTTATTTAATTTTATTTAAAAAGCCACATAGGATTGGTGGCATTCTTAATGGACAGTGCAGGTTTAGAAGCTAAAGTACCGAAATTTTCAAGACATTTCATTTATGGGGATATATTATAGATAATATGAGAAATATTGCTGTAATGAAACATATAATGATATATCTTGTATTCTCAGATGCTACTATTGATGATTGATTTAGGGCACATGCATCCACTTTTTAGGTACTCATTCCTTTCCTCTCTGTTGGTGGAGTTGTAAGAATGGGACTAAATGGCCCATTCAGGAACTCAGTTAATTACCTTTATCCTAACCAAACATCTGTAGAATCATCGGAGTTGTTATACTTAATAATCTGTTGTAGTTTTTCTTCCTCACTTGCTTGTTTTGCTATAGTACAATAGTAATTCACTTAATGATAGCCTTTAAATTTTCTAGTGTAAGAAATTTTAAAGTAAGTTATAGAAATTGATCTTTAAGGCCATTAAGTTTTTTTTGTTTTTTTTTTTAAGATTTTATTTATTTATTTTGAGACACAGAGATAGAGAGAGAGAGAACATGAGCAGGGAGAGAGGCAGAGGGAGAGGGAGAAGCAGGCTCCTCGCTGAGCCAGGAGCCCAATGTGGGGCTCAATCCCAGGACCCTGGGATCATGACCTGAGCGGAAGGCAGACGCTTAACCATCTGAGCCACCCAGGCGCCCCAAGGCCATTAAGTTTTAAGAAAATGTTACAAATCACTTGAGGATTGAGGCTATCCTTTTAATGTTCAGATTTTGATTTCAAGACAATATTCTCACACTATACTAGATTAATAATTAATACTGAGCTAATGTAGGGGTGCCTGGGTGGCTCAGTCTTTAAGCGTCTACTCTCGACTCAGGTCATGATCCCAGGGTCCTGGGATCAAGCCCCCGCATTGTGCTCCCTGCCCCGCATTGGGCTCCCTGCTCCACGGGAAGCCCTTTCCCACTCCCTTTCCCACTCCCCCTGCTTGTGTTCCATCTCTTGCTGTGTCTCTGTCAAATAAATAAGAAGCCCTTTCCCACTCCCCCTGCTTGTGTTCCATCTCTCGCTGTGTCTCTGTCAAATAAATAAATAAATAAATAAATAAATAAATAAATAACAGTTAATGTAAAAGAAATCGAAATAATAGTTTTCTACTGCCCTCCAAAATTAGAATCATGGTTTTCTGTTTTTATGAGTGCCTTGAAACACCCTTCACTTAAATTTCCTCTCTTTCTGTCTCTGTTCCTTAGTTTCCTTAATTGTCTTTGGTTCTTCATTCTATTTGAGCTTTTTCCTAGCTGATCCCTTTGTTCTATCTCTATTTCTGATTCCCAAGATAGCATGGGGGAGATGGAAAGTAAGAGGCCACCATGGATGTGTTTGAGCCAGGGAGGTAACAGTGGGGTGGGAGAGGACGGAAAAAAATCAGTGCCTTTTAGAGTTGAGAACCATAGTTATGAATCAAATCATAATAATACTTTGCTCTATATAAAAAAATTCATGATCTTTCTCACTATAATTAAATGTAAATAATAGGTTTTTTTTTTCTTGCTAAGGTATGGGATTATAGTGGAGAGGTGATGTTTTGTGGTATAGAAAGACATCAGTGGTTCTGATAATTGAAACAGTTATTTTTCTGTTGGCTGAGTTAGGCCTTGTTTCTCAGGAACCTTGCCATGAAAAAGAGTGTTAAATTGTCTTTGAATTTTGAATAGAAAGTAATCCTTTGACTTTGTCATTTCAGTAACCATGAATGTAAGGGAAATGTGGGCTTTGGTAATATTAACTCAAAAAGCCCAGCGGTGGACAGTCATCAGAGACTTTTGTATGCCCTGTAGTTATTTAGCTCAAATGCTAGGATATATCCTATTTTGAAAATGTAAGATGTTTTCCTTAAATGATTTTTAAAAGTCTGCTTTCAGTTCACTTAATTAACAAATCCTTGTTAACCTTCCAAGTGTAATGGAGACAAACTAAAAATGAGCTCTGATAACTTGTTGGATCAGTAAATCAGAAAAGTTATTGTTTGGATATACAGTATTAAGTTCTGTACGATAATATTAAAGAATACTTTGGCTTAGATCCCCTCTCCATCCCCCAAATACCTGCCTATTCTGTTTTCAGAAGAGTTCTTTTTTTCCCCTAATTTTATTGAGGAGTAATTAACAAATATAATTGTATATATTTAAAGTGTACAACATAATTTGATATACATATACTTTGTGGGATGACTACCAAGATTAAGATGATGAACACATCCATCACCCCACATAGTTATCTCTTTCTCATGTGGTGAGGATGCTTAAGGTCTACTCTCAGCAACTTTCAAGTTTACTGTATTAACTAGTCACCATGCTGTATATTAGATCCTCAGAACTTACTCTTCTTATAACTGAAAATTTGTACCCTTTGACGTACATCTTCCCTATTCCTCCTTCTCCCCAACCCCTGGCAGCCGCCATTCTATTTCCTATTTCTTTGAAATCAGCCTTTTTTTAAAAAAAAAAAAAAGATTTCACATGTAGTGACACCATACAGGATTTGTTTTTCTCTGTCTGGCTTATTTCACTTGGCATAATACTCTTCATATTCATCCGTGTTGTGATGAATGGCGGATCTCCTGTTTTATAGCCGATTAGTATTCTATTGTATATGTAATACCACATTTTCTTTACTCATTCATCCATTAAAGGACATTTTACTTATTTCCACATCTTGACTATTGTGAGTAATGCTGCAGTGAGAATGGATGCACAGATACCTCTTTGAGATACTGATTTCAGTTGCTTCAGATATATATCCAGGAGTGAGATTGCTGAATCATGGTAGTTCAAGTTCTTATTGTCACAAGTTTTGGAGACAGCTGAGGGTTTGAATCCTAGCTCTGTTGCATAATACCTGTAGCTTCAGTTTCTTCATTTATGAAATGAAAACAGTAAGAGATGTTAAGATTAAAAGATAAATTGTATGCGTAGCACTTAGCTACCCAGTGCTGGATGCAGGGTAAGCACTCAATAAGTGTTATCCAGAATTATCTTGTCCCACATTAATATATTCTAAGAAAAAGTTGTAAAATTGGGAATGATTAATCTATCCTTACAGTTGATGTTTTTTCCCTCTTCCCCCAGGATGAAAATGGGATAAATAGACCAGTGTGTTCCTATATTAAACCACTTCGAGCTGGGAGGCTTCTGGATACTCCAAGGCAGGCAGCAAGATTTGTTAATGTCCTTGGTTATGAAAGAGCCCCTGTTATTGGAGGAGGAGGTAAACAGGAACAGTGGTGCACTCTGCTGGCCTTTCTCTGTAGAAACAAGGTATTCTACACATGTAATAGAATTAAAAAGCAGTACATCATAGTTACTGTGAATTGATTGCATTTGAAAACAGAAAAGTCAGTGAATTATCAATTTGAACTAGTCACAATCTTTTGTTTTTAATACATAAAAAACTTAGCATCTTTATTTTCTTGTGTAGTTTCTTATTAGCATAATATGATTTTTGTGAGATGGAGACAAGTACTATCGTGTCAGAAATCAAGATATAGAGGTAAATTAAACAGTGAATTAGAGACGGTGCTGGGACCAGAATCATGGTCTTTCTATTACTATTCATGTTTTAAAATCTATTTAGATGATACATTTTTTTTACAAGAGAAAATGGCAGTACAAGATGAATATGGAAGAAAATCTTGGATTGCATGATATTTTGTTTAGTTTCAAGTGTAAGTATGTATTTAAGAATTTGTACATTTTTGATATTAACTGATTTCAATAAATGAATTTTATAGATTATGTGATATTTTTAATCTGTGTTCTAAAAATGTTGATAATATGAAAACAAGACTATCTTTAGCATTTCAGTTCTGAAATAGAAAAAAATCAATTTTTTTATTATTTGTTTTGCAATAATTTTTGTCTGAGGTTTTATAAGTAGTATGAGTTCATTCACAAGGCAAAGCTTATACAGAAGAGCCTATTTAGCTTAGAGATTGATTTGTTAGGAAGATTTTATCTTAAAAACAATTGGTGGGGAGCGCCTGGGTGGCTCAGTCAGTTAAGTGTCTGCCTTGGGCTCAGGTCATGATCCTGGGGTCCTGGGATTGAGCCCTGCGTTGGGCTCTCTGCTCAGTGGGGAGTCTATTTCTCCCTCTGCCCCTCACCCTGCTCATGCTTTCTCTCTCTTGCATGCTCTCTCTCTCTCTCTCTCAAATAAATAAATCATCTTAAAAAAAAAAAAACAATTGAAGGGGCTCCTGGGTGGCTCAGTCAGTTACACATCTTACTCTTGATTTTGGCCCAGGTCATGATCTCAGGATAGTGGAGTTGAGCCCCAAGTCAGGCTCTGTGCTCAGCATGGAGTTTACTTAAGATTCTCTTCTCTCTTCCTTCCACTCTGCTTCTCCCCACCTCCCTCACTCTCTTTCTTTTTTCTTTTTTTTTTTTTTAAGATTTTATTTATTTGGCAGAGAGAGACACAGCGAGAGAGGGAACACAAGCAGGGGGAGTAGGAGAGGGAGAAACAGGCTTCCCACAGAGCAGGGAGCCCGATGTGGGGCTCAATCCCAGGATCCTGGGATCGTGACCTGAGCCAAAGGCAGACGCTTAACGACTGAGCCACCCAGGCGCCCCTACACTATTTCTTTCTTTAAAAAAAAAGAAAACAGTTAAACATTATCAATAAATTACTTTGATTTATTCTCAAGTTGTGGTTCCCAAAAGTTGTGTGTTTGGATTTAAGCTTTTTTATTTCAAATGTAGCAGGAATGGTACATATTTAAAGTCATTATGTAAATCATTCTTAACTAAAGCAAATAATCACCCCTTTGATTCATTATTTTGTTTACCTGAGTTTGTTTAAAGAGAAAGCACATCTTAAATTAGAATCTTGAAATTATTAATTTAAAAAATTTTTTTTAAAAATTTATTCAGAGAGAAAGAGAGCGAGCGAGTACAAGTAGCGGGGAGAGTCAGCGGGAGAGGGAGAGGCATACTCCCCCCTGAGCAGGGAGCCCAACACAGGGCTTGATTACTGAGATCATGACCTGAGCAGAAGGCAGCCACTTAAACTGAGCCACCCAGGCGCCCCAGAAGCTTGCAATTATTGAAAAAGTTATTCTTGCACGAACAAGAGCATTACAGCAGTACGGGTGCAATTTCTCCCATGATTCTGTTGCCAGTTTTTCATCTCTTTTTTTATATTTTCGTGTTTCTCTGTGTATATATTATTTTTCCATAATTATAATTGAGATATAAATAAAGTTTTGTGTCCTGCTTTATACTTTAACATTATGCTATGGACATTTTCCCATGTAGTAGCTGCTACAATTTTTATGATCTCCATCTATTCATGTTTGCATAAGTATAAAGTTTTCTTTAGTTGATATACAAAATCTACTTAACTTTTGCCATTGTAGGAACTGTTTCTTTTGGCTATAGTAGCTTCTAATTTTTTGATATCTTTGTGAGTGAATATTTTCATTGAATATCTTTGGGAGTATTATTATTTTTCTTTTGAAAATTTTTAGTATAAAATCTCAGTATAGAAATTACTGTGTCTAGAAGGTTGGATATTTTTCAAAAGTCAAATTTGACATTTTAAAATGTTATTGGTTCTAGTATATTTAATCAAAAAACAGCAGTATAGAGCCACTAATACAAAAATTAAGGGGAAAGAAATCACCCCTCAGGCTAACACTGCACTTAAAATTTTATGTATTATGCAGAACCTTTAGTCCTGCACTTAAATACATATCTTCATGTAATTGTAGCCTGTTTTAATATTTTTATTTTTTATAGATTATCAGATATTTTGTTTTTGTAGCTTTCATAATATTTGTAAGTTGTGAAAATAATATTATCAAAGAAAATTTAAAAAATAGAAGGGAAAATGATATATAACCTTCCATAATTATAGCCATTATTGACATTTTCTTCTTTCAGTCATTTTTCCTGGTATGTATTGCCTTAAAATGATCACATACAGATACTGTAACTCATTGTTTTGAGTATTTTCCCATGTATTTGCATTTCTTGATGTATCATTTGTCATCTTGTCTGTTCATGTCCTTTAGCTCTTTAGCTATTCATCTTTAAAATCTTGCTACTTTTCTTTCTGTGTTATATAAATTTTTTATAAACTTTTGAATCCGAATGTCCCCTTTTATTTATTTATTTATTTATTTAAGATTTTATTTATTTATTTGACAGAGAGAGACACAGTGAGAGAGGGAACACAGCAGGGGGAGTGAGAGAGGGAGAAGCAAGCTTCCCACCGAGAAGGGACCCCGATGCGGGGCTTGATCCCAGGACCCTGGGATCATGACCTGAGCTGAAGGCAGACGCTTAATGCCTGAGCCACCCAGACACCCCGGAATGTCCCCTTTTAAAGTATATATGTTATGACTATCAGATTTGTGAGCACTGACTTTGTAAAATAATTTAGGTTCTTCTAAAATTAGTGTATTCTTACCCCTGTCCCCAATTGTTTTAGCTTATTACCACTAGACTAATGATTAAAAGAAAAAATTAGGGGCATCTGGGTGGCTCAGTCACCTTCGGCTCAGGTCATGATCTCAGGGTCCTGGAATCAAGCCCCATGTCGGGCTCCCTGCTGGGTGGGGAGTCTGCTCCCTCTCCCTCTTTCCTCTCTCTTTCTCTCTCTCTCTCTTGCTCTCTCTTAAGTAAATAAATAAAATCTTTAAAAAAAAAAAAATCTAGGGGTGCCTAGCTGGCTCAGTCGGTGAAGCACGTGACTCCCCATCTCAGGGTTGTGAGTTTGAGTCCCATGTTGGGTTTAGAGATTACTTAAAAATAAAAAAAAAAAACTTGAAAAAATGAAAAAATTAATACTGCTTTTTAATTATAATTTTTATTGGATATTTAATGAGGAAACTGAAGGAATAAATACTTAATTCATTTCATTTTCTAGGGTGACTGTGAAGATCATGCTAACCTTCTATGCAGCCTTCTTCTTGGATATGGATTAGAAGCCTTTGTCTGTGTTGGGACTAAGGCAAAAGGAGTACCTCACGCGTGGGTTATGACCTGTGGAACTGATGGGACTATCACTTTTTGGGAGAGTTTAACAGGGCACAGGTTTGTCAACTATGTTAGAAGGATATTAAAATGAAGATGTAAATGTTTGAGATTATAGGTTCTTTGTTTATATTGATGGTATTCAAAGGCACATCCTGATAATTTTCATTATTAGAGCCTTTTTGATAACTATGTAAAACATTACTTCAATTAAAATATTAAATTTGAAGAAAATTTGTACATCTAAAATATTGGTAAAAATATTGGTAAAATAATATTGGTAAAAAATAAATGATTTATTTTTAATTTTGTGTAATTGGCATATGCTTTTTCTGATGTTTTTCCTCAAGCCTAAAAGTAAGTTCAGGTTGTAAATCATGATTTCTTCTGAAAATCTGATGTCACTAACTCCACATTGGTAAATTCACTGTATACTTTTCTTAGTTCTTTTGACTGCCATCAGATTTTGAAAGAATTGCGTGCTCCTCCCTCTTTCCTGGGACCATCTCTTTCCTTAGCTTCTCCCATAGCTCTGTCTTTCAGTTTTCATTATTCCTGTCTGGCTGTTCTCACTTCTCCTTCATCTTATCTGTAAATGTTGGAGTTCCTAAAGGTGCGGCCCTGGGCCATCTTCTCAGTTTTCTGAATTTCCCCCTGGTTGATAATCGTTTTAATTAGTTGTACCTATTTAGTTGTAGCTAAGTTATTTTAATTGTGTTACCTGAGATGAATGGTTTTGATCTTAATGATTATACATAGAATATATTTTCATGTTGAATAAAGTTGATTTTTATATCATAATATGTGCCATACAATTACTGTAGAGTAATCAAATTGTAGAAATATAAGAAGAAAAAACAAGTATTAAACTTTAGTCCTGGGAAATAGTTATAGCCTTAAGTATCTTTTTCAATAGGTGTTGCCTTCTTAATTTTTAAGTTTTTATTATATAAAGTGATGATTTACTTTTTTTAGGTACATCCACAAACCTGCCAATCCTGATGAATCTCCAGTTGCTGAACAGCCCAAACCATTGTACCCATATCGAACAATTGGTTGTGTTTTCAATCATCAGATGTTCCTGGGAAATTGTCAGCCCTCTGACTCAGTAGAAATCTGTGTATTTGATTTGAATGATGAATCCAAATGGAAACCCATGAGTGAAGAAGCAATCAAATCTGTTTGTGCTCCGGGAGCTACAACATCCCTTCCTCCCTTTCCCCCTCTGTGTGCATCCACAATTGATGCTTCAGTAACAAGTAATGAAATAGAAATGCAGCTAAGGCTGCTAGTGTCAGAACACAGGAAGGTAATTAACACTGAGATTTGTAGTTTTGCGCATTTTTTTAATTTGTTTATATATTTAACGATTGGGGGGGGCAGGTGGGATAGTGCCAGTCACGGTTCTAGCCCTGAAGAAAGCAGATTTAATTCCTGCCCTTAAGAAGCTTGAAGTTTTGGGGCACCTGGGTGGCTCAGTCATTAGGCGTCTGCCTTTGGCTCAGGTCATGATCCCAGGGTCCTGGGATCGAGCCCCGCATCGGGCTCCCTGCTCGGCGGGAAGCCTGCTTCTCCCTCTCTCACTCCCCACTGCTTGTGTTCCCTCTCTCTCTGTGTCTGTCTCTGTCAGATAAAATCTTAAAAAAAAAAAAAAAGACAAAAAACATAAAAAGATTAGTATATTTTAAGAATTTTTGTTCATGAAAAGAAACCAGTCAGAAGTGAAAAGAGCACAATTGGAGTGGGAAAAGTTATATGCAACACATATAACCATCAAAGGACTAGAATCCCAGAAGACTTATTTCTAATTCACCTCTTCGGATTCCCCACCTTTGGTGAATCCAGTTTTCCATGTTCCTTGAGGCCATCAAAGGCAAACTGATTTATCAAATACGTTTTCTGGGCTCCCAATTACTATTAATTTTGGCTTCTAAAATCTGCTGTACTCACTTGCCAACTCATCAAAGCATTTAAAAGTATATTTTGGAAAATATTTAATCTGGCATTTGTAGTTTGGTCTTATTAGCAATAGGTTGTTTAAGGACCTAGTTCACTATACTGCTGGGAATGAAAGCCCCTCATTACTGCCCCTTTCCTTCCATCACTTATACTGCCTTTTAATTTTCTTAGGTATTGTTTACAAACAAGACCAGTATTTTACTACGTTATAAGAATTTATATAGAGAAGAAAACTGAGCTAGATACTAGTGTTAATCACTAAGTTAATGGTGCCTGTAAACCAACAAGTAAGATTTACTTTTTGCCAGGGTAAAAAGGTGATCGTAGACCTTTGGGGTTACTTGGAACCACTTAAAACCTTGAATACACAATGGATCGTGGATCAACTACATCAAAAACTAATGATGTATTGTATGGTGACTAACGTAACATTAAAAAAAAAAAAAAACAAACAAAAACCTTGAATACAAAATCAGGAAATGGTAGAGATCTATTATGATAATCAAAATATTTAAGTTTTTTATGTTTGTAACAATATTTCAAAAATATGTGTCTAGATATCTGTAGTTCATTTGATGTTATAAATGAAATCATAATTGCCTTCAGCATTCCATTAGAAACATGTTTTAAGCTCCCTAAAGGCCTATAGCATGTCTTTTTCACCTTTTTATCTCTTTACAGTTTAAAAGTTTGTGTTTTTTATAAATATTTGAGTTTAATTATACATGCAATTCATTTGTTGATTTTTCTCCCCTACTATAGTTGAATTTGTGTTGGAGCAATCAAATTAAGCAGATTCAATCTTACTAAACTCTTTAAAGTTAAATAAAATATGATTTCAAATTTCAGTGGCACTGTGTTTTCCATAGTAGGACTCTTCCATGTAGTCTTTTCTAGTGGATATTAAGGAAGTATAGATTTTGGAGACTTTCCTAACATCATTGTATTGAAAGTTTATTGGTTTTTTTCCTCTAAGAAGTAAAACCAGATACCTGTAGTTCCTTTATTTGTATGTGTCCTTATAATTAATAGAAAGTTTAAAAAGTTATGACAGGTTTTAAAAATCTCTTGGCATACATTAAAATAGCCAACATTTATAATTGGTTTTTAAAACATTAGTGTATTTCACCTTTCCTTTTCATCTTTTGATTGCTGTAGGATCTTGGTCTCACTACTGTTTGGGAAGACCAGCTTTCCTATCTCTTATCACCAGCTTTGGCTTCTTATGAATTTGAACGTACAACAAGTATATCTGCAGGCAATGAAGAATTTCAAGATGCCATAAGGAGAGCTGTACCTGATGGTCACACATTTAAAGGGTTCCCAATACATTTTGTATATAGAAATGCAAGGCGTGCATTTGCCACATGTCTTCGGTAAGGTGGAATTTATGAATTCATAAATATTGTTATTGGCTTAGGAATTTAAAGATATTTATTTGAGAGAGAGAGAGCGCTCAAGGTGGGGGCAGAGTGGGGACAAGCAGACTGTGCTGAGCATGGAGCCCGATGCGGGGCTGGTTCTCACGACTCTGAGATCATGACCTGAGCTGAAATCAAGAGTCAGACGTGCAACCTACTGAGCCACCCAGGCACCCCTGTTAACCTAGGAATTTTAGCAGTCTGATTATTTAGGAATGACTTTAGAATCACATGGTGAACTTTTATAATGATTTATTATTTTCCTTGCCACAGATTGTGATTCATTATGTCTGAAATGTAGCTCTAGTAGTTGGGATAATTTTCCCATTGATTTTGGTGCAGTCTCAGTTGAGGATTTCTGATCTTGTCCAGTGTAATTTTTTAAATTTATAGACTGAAGAAGTATTCTATAATTTGAATAAGTTAACCAAAATCACAGGGCTATTGGTAGCAGAGACAGGATTTTTAAAAATTATTTTAAATACTGACTTACTTAGAAATAAAACCTAAGTTCACTTCTTAATTGAATAAATTTTCTTTCTTCTATAGGTCTCCTTTCTGTGAAGAAATAATCTGTTGCCGTGGAGACCAGGTGCGACTGGCAGTTCGTGTCCGAGTGTTTACTTACCCTGAATCTGCATGTGCTGTTTGGATCATGTTTGCTTGTAAATATCGCTCGGTATTATAGGACTAACATTTCTATAAGAATGTACCTGTTTTATTGGAATTTTACATATTGTACATTACTAGGTGTATAGAGGTTATCATTTTAAAAATCACATTCTGGCTTGGATGTCATATTTCACTTTTGTATATACCTGACAATGTTTGAAAAAAATCGTGTGTATTTAAAAATTAAGGATAAAAAACTTGTATAAATCTGAGTGGAATTTAGTATAAATTAAGTGTGTATTTTATTTTAATAAATGCTACTTTGTTTACAGGTATTCAGTAGTTTAAATATAAATACAAAATTTACTCAGTTTTCTTTACATTAACAGGTAATCAGAGATATTTATGTCTAAGGGTTTGAGTCATAGTAAAATCAATATGATCATTATTTTTCATAGATTAATGGGATTATTTTATATAAATTAGGAAAAATTAACCTCACAACAGATTTATTCATTGAATAGGTGAAAATACGTTTTGATGAATTATCACTTTTGAGGTTTACCCATGGCCATAGGGATATTTGTGACTTCCCAGGGATTTATGGGAAGACTTTGATGCAAGAGTAGGAAAAACTAATAGCAGAAAAGCATAAATATTAATAAAACAAACCTCACATAAAAGTACATAAATAATTTATAAATATGGTAGTTAGATGCATTATAAATTGACTATTTTTATTTTTAAAAATTTTAAATATTTATTTGAGAGAGAGAGTGCGTGCATAAGCAGGGGGAGCGGCAGAGGGAGAGGGAGAAGCAGGCAACCCACTGAGCAGGGAGCCTGATGTGGGACTTGATTCCAGGACCCTGGGATCATGACCCACCTGAGGGTAGACGCTTTTTTTTTTTTTTTGAAGGTAGACGCTTAACTGAGCTACCCAGGCTCCCCCAAAATGAGTGTTTTAGAAAAAATTCATCATACCCTTCTGTTATGACACTTTGATAAACTATTTCTGTAGTTATTATTGGCAGTTTGTTGCTGATTCTCTGTAGTCAGAGGATTCATTACTAGCCTCTTCATGGATTCCATCTTATAAACCACATTTGTTTTTCTTTCTTCCTTTTTCTTTTTTATTGTGATAAAAAACATCGGTGTATATGTGACTACTCTAAATTGGAGAATCATGTGAGGCCACTGAAAAATGAGCATATGTGAGGGACTCCATGCTGATATTTGCTTTAAAATTGAGCAAGTTTTAAAAGTTAGTTTTAAAAGTGAACAACAGTGAGCATTAAAAAAGCTATAGCAATTTGACTTTTTGTAAGAAGCTACATGACATAATTGATAGATTTGACTGTCCATTCAGCATCTCTCTGCACAGGTTGCTTCATCCATTGGTCTTAAAGCAACTATGGGGGCACCTGAGTGGCTCAGTTGGTTAAATGTCCCACTCTTGATCTCAGCTCAGGTCTTGATCTCAGGGTTGTGAGTTCGAGCCCATGTTGGGCTCCATGCTGGGTGTGGAACCTACTTAAAAAAAAAGAAAGCAGCAGGATACTAGTCGGCTGTGCAAGTTACTCTTTTCATCACTTCATTGCAAATGATTTAATGTTTTTAAAATTAAAACCTAGAGATACCCTAAAATTTACCTTTTGTTTATTTTTGTATATAATAAATATTTATGATTTAACTTGTTTAAAAAATCTGAAAATATCCCTCTTAATTTTCATTGAAAACAGTAATCAGATGTTTTTTGTGAGACTGACATGACTTTAGAGAATTAGCAAAATAAGAATTAGACTTTTTTCCTCTGTTACCAGAATTACTCATAAAGCTATCAATGGGGAAAATTGCTTATAATTTTCAACTTTGGGAACAAACCATTTATGGGGCACATACTAAGAGGCAGACTATTTTAAGATCAAGGCTATGTTATCATTGAGGCTGGACTTCCTGCCTTATTGTATCAGAGTAACGCATGTATTCATAATGCATCTTTGGTATAAATTCTAAAATAAATTTCCTTTTTAAGCACTTTAATAGAGTGTGACATGAATAATTTTCTGTAAAGGTGGTTTATTTCAAAAGATTCTTTCAGTACATTTATCACTAGAATTCTCATTACCAATAATTTTTCTTTTTAAAAATTAAATTTACCTTGTCTATTTAGCTGTCATAAAAGTTGTTTTCCTATTAAAAATAAAATTTTTTATATAATGTCTTTAATGTGTTCTTTTGTACACTAATACAGTCCTCTATACATATATGTATATGTATAATATATAGGTATATTTATTAGGAGAAGAGTATCAGAAACCTAGAAACTTTATTATTCAAGCACGAGCCTGTTGAATAAAACATACTAAATTTAGTTCCAACTAAGTGAACACTCCAAATGCCTTTAAATTTTTTTCTACTATTGAGATGTGCATTTTTTGTTATGATCTGCAAAAACACATCTATAACCTGACAGTTCTGGAAAGTGCACATATTTGAAACTCACTTTTCTACTTCTTAAAAAGACAAGACTTGAACCAAATGAAGAGTAGGCTTTATATTTGGAAAGACTATTGCTGTTAAAGTAGTATTCTGTGCCATATAACTGACCCATCAGAAGGCATTAGTTATAAATCAATTGCTTAAACTAACCCATTCACACTTGATTTCATGCTGTACTAAACAAGAACATAGTTTAGACTATGTTAGACTACAGTTGGCAATTTTTATAATTTTTTTTTACTCTTAGATAACAATTTTGACCTTTATATAACTTGAGATAAGTACAGGAATTAGATGATCTGATTTTTAACATGCTCAACTTTTAAACCAATGAGAAAGTAGCATTGCTTTCTAGCTGTTGGTGGTTCAGAAATAATTTGAGATTAGCCAAAGCACATATAAAATATTAAAAACAAAATAGCCAAAATAGAAACCATCTAATTTTGAAGAACCTAAATTGTTTATAGCATATTCTACATTTAAAGCATAAGTTGAGTTATAATCATTAATGCATGTAAATGTGGGTATTAAATGTTTAATATTTTCTTCTGAGATGTGGCTGGCATAATCATTGTAATTACATTTGACTTGTATTTGGTTTGTGAATTAACTACATGATACCAGTGTTGAGATAGTCATGGATATTAGAAGGGAAGTAGAGGAGGTTATTAGCTGGTCATTAGTTCACATATAGTCTCTATTTTTTAAAGATTTATTTTATTTAAATATTTATTTATTTTTTAAGATTTTATTTATTTATTTGACAGAGACACAGTGAGAGAGGGAACACAAGCAGGGGGAGTGGGAGAGGGAGAAGCAGGCTCCCCGCGGAGCAGGGAGCCCGATGTGGGGTTCGATCCCAGGACCCTGGGATCATGACCTGAACTGAAGGCAGATGCTTAAAGACTGAGCCACCCAGGCACCCCAAAGATTTTATTTATTTATTTGACAGAGAGATAGAGCCAGAAAGCACAAGCGGAGGGAATGGCAGAGGGAGAGGGAGAAGCAGGATCTGCACTGAGCAGGGATCTCAGCGCGGGGCTCAGTCCCAGGACTCTAGGATCATGACCTGAGCCAAAGGCAGATGCTTAACCATCTGAGACACCAAGATGCCCCAAGATTTATTTATTTTAGAGAGAGCGAGCAAGCTGTGGGGAGGGACAGAGGGAAAGAGAGACAGAGAATTCTCAAGCAGACTCCGTTCTGAGTGCAGAGCCTGATGTGGGGTTTGATCTTGGAACTCTGAGTTCATGACCTAAGCCGAAATGAATGACTGAGCCACCCAAGCACCCCAGTTCACATATATTCTTATGAAAGATTCCTTCTCTGATTTTACTGAATTTAGACTTGTACTAATACTCCGAGACAGATGTTTCCTAGTGTTTTTGAAGGTAACTAGTTTTTTGGGTGGTTTTGTTTGTTTGGTTGGTTTTTTTTGGTTTTGCATCTAAAACTAGAGTTTTAACTATCTTTATGCGATTTAATATTTCATGGCCTGGAATTACAGGATTTTGGACTTGAAAGGAGTCTTAATCCACATAATTTATATAGTAATGAAATGGAGATCTAGAGAAGTGAAGTTCTCTGTCCAAAGATTCATATTTCTAATAGGAGATCTGTTCTAGAATCAAGTTCTGACTGAGTTTACTTCTTTTTGCTGTGTCTCTGCACAATGTGAGTTTTTCTCTCTGTGGGCATGGCATTATTGGGTATGACCAAGTAACCATCCAACATAGTATGGAAAATTTTCATTTTAGTGGTTCTACCCAAGACCTAGGAATATGGAAGCACCTGTCTTTTATGGTACTCATCACATAACCTATCAAAAATTACAGTAATATTTGGGATATCAAGTCACTGACATGAGGCCAGAATTACTTTTTAGGGAGGATGGCCTAGGGAAGCTGAGTCCCTTAGAGGGGCAGTGAGCTGCTTGAGATTCCTTATGGTGTAGAATTCAACTATTTGTATACTTAAGAGAGATTCAGTAAACTGAGGTACAGGGATAGTGCCTACTAACATGCATTTAGAAAATATTTCAGTCATATTGTCTGTATTTTGAGAGAATTCGGAAATCCATTTATTCACAAATTGGATGTACCTAGCCAGTTGTTAACTGAATTTTTACAAAATCTTTTCCTTGTACACAATGTACAGTGAGGGAATAGGAGCAGTGGTAGTATGAAACTGGAAGATGATTGTCAGAAGTTAGAAAATCTATTGATTTGAACACAAGCAAACATTTTATTGACATAATTTGCCTACCATACAATTAACCTTTTTTTTTTTCCTTCCAAGTTTTTATTTAAATTCAAGTTAGTTAACATAGTGTAGTATTGGTTTCAGGAATAGAATTTAGTGATTCATCATGTATATATAATAACTATTTTAAAGTGTACAGTGCAGTGGTTTATATTCTATTTAGAGATACATACAACCATCCTCAATCAATATTACAACATTCCATCACCTCAAACAGAAACCCTGTACCCTTTAGCTATTACTTTCCCATCTCCCCATTCCCTACCCTCCTTTCTCCCTAGCCCTAAGCAACCACTAATCTACTTTCTATGTAGATTTCCCTATTCTGGATTTTCATATGAATGGAATCACATATGGTCTTTTGTGACTGGCTTCTTTAACTTCACATAATGTCTTAGATTTATCCATGTTGTTGCATGTATCATATCATTCCTTTTTATGGGCAAATAATATTCCATTGCATGGATATATCATTGTTTATCCATTTGACAGTCAATAGACATTTTGGTTGTTTTCACTTTTTGGCTATTATAAAAATGCTGCTATAAACATTCATGTACAAGGTTTTATGTGGGCATGTGTCTTCATTTCTCTTGGGTGTATATCTAGGAGAGGAATTGCTGGATCATATGATAACCAACATTTTAGTGAAATGCCAAATAGATTTCCAAAGCAGATGCACCACTTTCTAATTCCACTCGTAGTGGATGAGGGTTCTGATTTCTCTACGATCTTGCCAACACCTTGTTATTATCTGACTTTCTTCTGATTCTAGTCATCCTATTGAGTATGAAGTGGTATCTCCTTGTGGTTTTTATTTGCATTTCCCTGATAGCTAACGATGTTGAGCATTCTTTCATGTGCTTATTGGCCATTTGTATATCTTCCTTGAAGAAATGTCTGTTTGGATCTATCACCCATTTTTAAATTGGGTTGTCTTTTTATTATTGAGCTGTAAGAGTCCTTTACATATTTTAAATACAAGTCCCCTATCAGATATATTATTTGTAGATATTTTTTTCCATTCTGCCGGTTGTTTTCATTTTCATTTTCATGATTGTGTCCTTGAAATACTAAAGTTGTTTGTTTTTTTTTTGAAGTACTAAAGTTTTTAATTTTGACAAAGGCCAATGTATAACAGATACATTGTTGTTGCTGTTGGTTTTGTTGTCATATTTAAGAACCATTGCCAAATCTAAGGTCATGAAGATTTACCCCTATGTTTTCTTCTAAGAGTTATATAATGTTAGCTCTTAGGCCTTTGATCCTTTTTCAGTTAAGTTTTATATATGCTGTCAGGTAAGGGGCTAGCTTCATTCTTTTGCATATAAATATTCAGGTGTTTCACCACCATTTGTTGAAAAGACTATTCTATCCCCATTGAATGATCTTGACACCCTTGTCAGTTGACCATAGATGTAGGAATAGAGTCATGACTCTCTATTCCTATCGTGCCAATCTGTTTTTTTGTTCCCGTACCACACATTTTAATTATCAATCATTGCTTTTCTGTACGTTTTGAAATTGGGAAGTGTGAGAGTCCTACAGCTTTGTTCTTTTTCAAGATTGTTTTGGCTATTCTGGGTCTTTTGCAATTCCATATGAATTTTAGAATCAACTTGTCAGTTTCTATAAAACACCAGGATTCTAGGAAGTATTGCCTTGAATTTGTAGAGTATTTGTGGAGTATTGTCATCTTAATATGGTTAAGATGAAGGCATTTCATCATTTGCTTCACGAATATGGGTTGTCTTGCCATTTATTTTTTTTTTAAAGACTTTTTTAAAGATTTTATTTATTTGACAGAGAGAGACAGAGTGAGAGAGGGAACACAAGCAGGGGGAGTGGGAGAAGGAGAAGCAGGCGTCCTGCTGAGCAGGGAGTCCGATGTGGGGCTCGATCCCAGGACCCTGGGACCATGACCCGAGCCAAAGGCAGACTCTTAACAACTGAGCCGTTCAGGCGCCCCTTGCCATTTATTTTAAATCTTTATTTTTCCTCAACAATATTTTGTAGTTTTCAGAGTATAAGTTCTGTACTTCTGTTAATTTATTCCTATTTTAGCTTTTTGATGCTATTATAAATGGAGTTGTTTTACTTAGTTTCATTTTTAGGTGGCTCATTGCAAGTGTTAGACATATAATTGATTTTTGTATGTTAATCTTGTATCATGCAACTTTGCTGACGTCATTTAATAGTTCTAATAGTTTTTTTAGTGGATTCCTTAGGATTTTCTTTAGACACAATCATGACACCTGCAACAGAAGTAGTTTTACTTCTTCGTTTCCAATCTAGATATCTTTTATTCATTCATTCATTCATTTATCTGCCTAATTGCCCTGGCTAGTACCTCTAGCACAATGTTGAAGGAAGTGGTAAGAGCGGATACCCTTGTCTTGTTCATGCTGTTGGGGAGAAATCATTCTTTCACCATTAAGTATGATGTTTTTAATTGGTTTT